CCTACCAAAACTTATCCTTAGCCATCTGTTGTCCCTGCTGCCTGTTATAAAGGTTCTGGATCCACTCCCAATGCCTCACGCCACAGCATAACTACTGTGGTGTGATTTAATTAAACCTGTCTCCTGTCAGGGGAGAGAGGCAAACAGTCCATCCCCACTCCCACTTCTCCCTCCTGGAGGAGGGAAGGGGATGGCCATTCTACAGTGTAGATGCACCCTTAGAGGCCACATGCAATCCACCAATGTCATTTCTAGTGTCCTCAACCTTCAGATACCTTGGACCTCTTTTTTCTTGACCAAAAAGGTGGTTTGCTTCTTCTGGAAGCCACTAGTGATGGTCGTTCACTTTATATATAGGCTGCAAGGGTCCCTGCACTATTTAATTTAAAATAAATAAATAAATCTCCACCCTCTCCCTATTATGTTTTATTTTTCCCTCCTTCTTTCCTTCCTTCCTCCTTCAACTCTTTTTCTAGCTAGTGCAGCCTGCAGAACATTCTCAGGACAGACAGTTTGCTCCCAGAACTGCCACAGTTGCCCTCTCTAGTCTTAGAGAAAGGGATGGACATTACGGATGGAAATAATATTCATAATAATTCCTCCTCAGGTCAAAAATAGGTTTCCCAACAATCAGGAACCCCCATCAAAAAGAATAAACCAACAAGAATGTTGTGCAATTTCGTACTGGAATTCCAATGTTTCAAACTATTGTGAGGCAATTTTGTGGGGAAATATCCTGTTTTCTATGTAGTAAACCTGCTTTTGCACACACAAAGACTCCCATATATTTTCTCTGCAAAATAATTCATTTTCAACATTTCAGGAAATTCAGATACAGAAAGAATTTTCTCCTGCCATGGAGATACAACAACCCAAATTATATTTCTTTGCATGTGAGAAGAAAATAACCAAAGATTTATATCCCTAGTGGGTGTACACTTAGTATTAGGAACAGTGCACATTTTAAGTCCCAGAAATGAATTTATAAGCCTTTCATACAAAACTAAAACTCTCCTGTTCCCCTGAGCCTTCTTTGTCCCAATATCCTATATTTTTGTGTGTGAGAGAGAAAATTGTTCCTTTTGCATTATTAAACAAGCAAATCCATGGTGATCAAACTATCAGAGATCCGCCAGTAGCTCCTTTTTATGAACTGTGCCCTTTTTTAAATGTGTCTTTTCCCATAGTCATTACAGAGTAAAGAAGAATGAGAGTTCTGGAACTAGTGGTGCAAGCACTATTCAAAAAGAGACTGAATGGATAAATCAATAGAAAAATCCTTTTTGTTGTTCTACTAAATATCTAATTTGTTGAATCCTACTTTTCCACATTAAACCTAAATTGCTTTAATTGAGATAATTCAGGCTGCTAATATATTGTTGCTGTTGTGTGCCTTCAAGATGTTTCTGACTTGTGGAGACCCTAAGGTTATCACAGGGTTTTTTTTGGAAAGATTTTTCAGAGGGATTTGCCTTTTCATTCTCCTGAAGCTGAGCCTACATCTGCACTGCAGATATAACAGTGTTTAACACCACTTTAACCATGGCTCAATGCTGTGGAATCCTGAGATTTGTAGTTTTTTAATGGCACTACAGCTCTCTGATAGAGAAGGCTAAATATCTCCCAAAATACAAAACCCAGAATTTCATAGCACTGAGCCATGCCAGTTAAAGATGTGTCAAATTTTATTACAGTTGCCCCACCATATTTATGGATTCTGCATCCACAGATTCAAACATCCATGGCTTGAAAATATTCCAAGAATATATAATATCTGAAAAGCAAATCTTGATTTTGCTATTTTATGTAAGGGACACCATTTTACGCCACTGTATTAAATGGGACTTGAGCATCCACGGGTTTTGGTATCCACAGGGGGTCCTGAAACCACTGTATTTCTGCAGTGCAGATGCAGCCTGAAGGTGACTTACCCAAGGACACCCAGTGAGATTGCATGACTGAGCAGGATTTGAACCTTGGTTTCCCAAATTGTACTGCAACACTCAAATCACTAAGTTTTGTTATCTGTTTACTGATACTGCAGAAGCCCAGGAGTCACAGATCCTTAAAAGTTACATACAAGTCTAGTAACACTCATGATTGACATACATTTAGAATCTGGCTATTAGGCCAGAAGCAAAGAAAAATTATCTGGGTTGAATATAGTTCTGAATGCCAGATGCTGGGAACAAAGCACATGGATGGATGAGAATTTTGCTTGGTTTGGGTTTTTTGGTTTGTTTGTTTGTTTGTTTCACCAAAATTCTTCATAGAGCTAATAATTTTTTTAAAAAAATGGGAAAACAAAATGTTGCACACTTGCCCATTTGGTTGGTGGTCTTTAAGTGCTTATTCCTTAAAAGTCTGCCTTTGAATCCCTGTTTAAGGTGCTGAATTAGAATTGGTATCTCATCTTTTTCTAACATGCTTCTCATGTTTCCTAGATACATGGCAAGCAGGCACAACATAGTATTTGCCATCCTGGTGATAGCTGTACTTGTCATGTCATCATATTTGTTTTATTGCTGTATGGGGCTTTTAAATAATTTTTGGATATAAGTAGTATAAATATCTTTGCAAATAAATAAATAAATCTGCCTTCCGTAATGCACTGCCAGCTGAAAATCTTGGATCCCTTCACAAGAAAAGTATTTCCTATAATCATTTATTCTTCCAGTTTTGCTCTTTTCTTCATTGTGACATAAAATCTGACATTTTCAAAGGTATTTTTCATGTTAAACATTTCTGCTACAAAAAAGGACACTCATACTTTGATGCTTCCTGCATTTGCACCCAATTAAATCTGATAATGTTCTCTTGATTTTCATGCACATTTTACTAATTGTGCAAAGGCTCTGCATGCCCAGATCTGTCCAGTGAAGAAATGATATGAGAATAATGTTCATAATTCAAATATGAAAAAATATACTATCCCTGAAAGAAGGTAAAGTAATAATTATGTAGAAGTGCTGGGCAAATGGTAATGTCTGATTAAAAGCCCGCTTTACTGGAGGATCTACTATTATGGTAACAGACAAAGGCCTAATTTATTCTGACTAATCAGGATTGATGTTAATTAAAGAAGAGTCCAAGATAATGACTTCTCATTACTATGTGATAGATAGAAATAGATTGCTCTACCTCTAGGTAAAATAAGCAATTAGATAACTTCTGTTTCTTAAGGACTTTTTTAGAAGCCTGATCTCATCCTTTCCTCTCCTTCTTTTGTCAAGATAGTAATATTTACATGTCTCATTTTATCAGTGCTCACTAGAATTTGCATTTTTTTAAAGGACACTTTTCCAGGCCACTACTTTTTTTTTTTTTAGGAGGAAAAAAGAATCAACTTCAGAATGAAACATGAGGTAAATTGGGGAGACCGTATGGTGTAGTGGTTTGAGCATTGGGCTAGGGCTCTGGACTCTAGGGCTCGAATCCCAGCTCAGCCATGAAAACTGACTGGTGACCTTGGGCAAGTTATACCTTCTCATCCTCAGAGGAAGGCAATAGCAAAAATCCCTCTGAAAAAACCTTGCTAAGAAAACCCCATGATAGGTTCACCATAAGTCAGAAATTACTTGAAGGTACACAACAACAAATGCAATAAACTGGACTGTAGCACAATTATAAAGGAAACAAAGGATAGGTACACATAAAGACCAAGCCCTGTTTTGATGCTAGCTGGGTAAGGGCACTAAAGTGGTTTTTGAGCATAACCCTTGCCAATCACTGCTCATTTGTGTTGCAGGGCTGGAGCTCCATCCAGTACTGTGTAGCCAAACAAGGAGATACTGGATACCCTGTTGTGTAGCATCTGTAAAAGTACTTAGGCTGATGTAACCCCTGATAATACCAGTATAAGTCAGCAAGAGAATTCTAACCATGGACAGCTAAGTTACACACAGAGACATACACACGCGTGTACACACACACACACCATTTTGCTTTTTGCTTCAAAGCTGTGTGCTGTGCCTTTATGTGTACTCCTCAGTTTTCCTCAACTTCCCCTCTGTATCATACAGAATTGTTACAGCAAATGAAGTAATTATGTAATTTTAGATTCCTTTGGGCCTATATAAGGAGATTATCACTTGGCTTTTCACACCAGTTTACCTCTATCCAGCTTAATCTTAATTTGGGTGGTATCCTGATCTTATCAGACATTTTTTGCTGCTGAATTTGCCATCGGGATACAGCCTGGGTCCCTGCCCACTTTCAGAGCCACTCTTTGCAGCCATTTTTTTAAGCCAGAAAACTCCCAGATCTGAAAAGAGCTGCGAGGAGTACTCCTGGAAGTGGGGATGCACCCCGGCTGTATTCAGGTGGCAAATTCAGTGGCACAAAAGTTTGATAAGATCAGGATGCCACCCAAATTAAGATTAAGCTGGATAGAGGTAAACTATCCAGCTTAAACCAAGCAATAATCTCCTAAATTTCATCTTTAAATCTCTATCTGGCCCTAACTCTAACTATTAGAGCTAGGACCAGTCTGCATGTAAGTATACTATGTGAATTTGTGTGCATTTTCACACATTTGCATTGATGACTAATTGCCTTCACTTTCCTGTGGAAATTTGCATTTATTTCCCCTTCCTCTGCTAAAAATATGCAGCCATCTAAATACATATGAACCAGACAAACGGATACATGTGTGATAATACACATTTATGCAGATTTTAGCAGATACTCCAATAAAAACTTTGAAGCTTTTTCCCACAGAGTTAAAGGAGTTTTTGGGGAGAGGGATGCATGAAAATTGCATGTGGCCAGATCACATTCTAGTCAACTGAAATATTCTAAATGTATAGACTAGTCCCAGCAACATTTGCCCACCTGTAATTACTTGTTGCTAGTTTACATATTACTCCAGATGGGCTTAGGCACAGAATATACCTATATCTAGACTTTCTGTGTGTTTGTTTTTCCACATCTTGTTTTATCAGTCTAAACTGCAACCATTTTCTTTTCTCTCTCTCTCTCTCTCTCTCCAGTATAAGAGAGCCAGCATGGCATAGTGGTTTGAGCATTGGATTATGACTCTGAAGCCTCAGGTTCAATTCCCAAATTGGCCATGAAACCCACTGGGTGACCTTTGGCAAGTTGCACTCTCAGCCTCAGGTGAAGGAAATGGAAAACCTCCTCTGAACAAATCTTGCCAGGAAAACCCCATTATAGGTTCACCTGAGGGTTGACATAAGTCAGAAACAACTTGAAGCACACAACAAAACCAATATAAAAGCATGTATTTTGTAGACCCTCTATGAGATGAACATTTTTCTGATGCCGCATAATGCTGATTCTTTCTGTTTTCTTAAGAAGATGCACCTGTGTTTGACTATGAACAAGTATTTGTAGGTAAAGCTAATTGTATAAATTTTACAAATTAGACCAAAAGCTTGTTTCTTTTAATCTGCTAGACCCTGTGGGTGGGTAGACAGACATCAGAGTAGTTGCTTTTTAGCTTCTAGTTTTCCATTTTCCTCTGCTTGAAATATCTAGTAGTATCTCTCACACTTTCCAGCAATTACTTTAGTTATTTCAAAATGTAGCAACTTTAAAATGCTTCATTTTTAGTATCATTGTGTATCACCTAGTGAGTGGGGCCATATCCTGTAACTGATACCCTAAAGAGAACTGCAGCTACTGCCATTTCCCCAATAATCCCTGTAGGCCTCTTCTGGCAATTCTTTTCAGAAGACAGTAGACATTTAGAGAAGGAGTAAGGAGTTGGGATTGAACAATTTTGAAAGTCAAAAGGAGGCTGACATTAGTGGTGGCATGCTCTTGGCGTACCATGCAAGATGTCAGTATTAGCATGCCTGTCTCTTCCTCTGATTCCTTTAGTTTGAAATTGCCCTATAGAGTGGGAATTTGCATGGTTCTAGACCTGCCTGCCTCTTCCTCTCTCTTTGACTGTGATTTTATTGGTGGAGAGGCAGTCTAAAGCTGAGTTTTGCCATGGGCTGGTCCCTCTAACATTCTCCCATCCCTTCACGTCTTCAACTGTCATCCCTTATGTCCTACTTGAGTGCTCTTTGTTCAGTTAGATTATCAACTCTTCCAAAGATATGCTACAGATATTTGAGCCCTAATGGGGCCTGAAAATTTTATTTGTACTCCCCAGATATAAGTACCTGTTTCAAAGGATTTATTTGAATTAAAATTAAAAATTAGAAAAATGTCTCCAAGACTACAAACAAGCAAGAGATCATTAGAGAAGCACAGCCCCTTGGGAAACCAAATTCCAACCTGTTTGATTGCTATTTTGTTATTTTTAATGATGAAAAACCAAGTGGAAAATTTGGTTAGAACCTTGAAGAGAAGAATTACTGGTGAAATAGAGCTTTCTGTTTTCCCCCATCTCCCTCACCCTCTCTCTCTCTCTCTTCTGGCTTCTAATGAGAAGACTTTAGAACTGTAAAGAAAGTTGGGCTTTAATGAAGAAGCTGAAGCAGTAGAAAAACACTTAACAGACAAAAAGGTGAATTAGGGTGCCATTGGAGATCTCATTAGAGAAGATTATAGTCAGACAATAAAGTGGAAATAACAGTTCAATAATAGCTTAAGTCTGGTTGCCTGCATGTAAGAGAACATTATTGTCAGTTTTTTAGTTATCTGCCTTTTTATGAAAGTCCAAGATCAATCAATATAACCCAATCTGAAGTGAGTGAAATTCACTTATAATATCCTTGTATTATTCAAGTTGAGAACTGTGAAAAGAGCAATAAGACCCACTCTGTCTCATTTTCAATTTGGGCAAATTACTGAATATTGATTTTAAAAAATGGTTTTAAGAGAAATGATTGTTTCACTCTTTGATATGAAATACACCAAATGAAGTGAAAGTACTCCATCTGGTCAGGCTTCTAATTTTTAAAGCAAGACTGGGCAACTTATGGCCTGTCTGATGTTGTTGACCTGTAACTCCAGTCTCTCTCACTACTAGCTATAATGGGGTGACGGGAATTGCAGTTCAACAAATTCTAGTGACCACAAATTACTCACACCTGCACTGAAGCCACACTTACTGTATTATATACACTAGGTCCTTGGTAGCTACTGAGGTTACCAAAATCCATAGATGCTCAAGTCACGTTAAATACAATGGTGCAGTGAAATGGTGTCCCTTATATAAAACAGCAAAATCAAGCTTTGCTTTTTGGAATGTTTTCAACACATCGATGGTCGAATCCATGGATAAAGAATTTGTGGATTATTAATTATTTAATTTATATCTTGTCTTTCTTCCAATATTATATCCAAAGCACCTTGGCCTTCTATTATGTAAGATAATCTGAACTGTGAGTTTGACATTAATTCTTATACAAAATTGCTTTCTTTGCAAGAATTTTATAAGATGTGGAATGTAAGTAGGATTGTGGCTCAGAATGCAAAAGTCCTAGCCTGAAGATCAGTCAGGTACAAACTGCTCCTACTTTTAAAAAAAAAAGAAAATTGGGCCCATAATCATACATGCCTTTTCTCTTTGTACTTTGAACTTCAGTTCCAGGTATCCACATGATGTACTGCTATCCTTGAATTTTTCATCCTTCTTGACCTTCTGTGAATTCCTGACTTCTAATTTCAGATGATCCCTATCTGCAGTGGGATGCAGTGTCTCAAGTGGTTAAAACACTGACTCTGCAAGACTGGCAGGTTGTCAGTTCAAGGGCCAAAAGTTTCATAAAGGGCTGAGCTCCTGTCACTAGTCCCAGCTTCTGCCAATGTAGCAGTCCGAAAGCATGCGAATGCAAGTTAGATAAATAGGTACCACTTTGATGGGAAGGTAAACAGTGTTCTGTACAATCATGTTGGCCACATGATCACAGAGTAGTCTCTGACAATGCTGGCTCTTCAGCTTACTAACGGAGATGAGCACTGCCCCTATGGTCGGACACGACTTGACAACTTTGTCAAGGAGGATTACCTTTACCTTTACCTTTACCTTTACCTTTACCTTTACCTTGCCCTATCTTTATGCACAGTCTGGCCTGTCAAATAATATTTTTTAATTGCTGGAGCCACTTGACACTTCTAATTATGTTACCTATAAAGGCCCTCTGATCTAAAAAAATAGAATTAGGATTTCCTTTGTTAATTTTTAAATAAATCACACACTTTTTAAAAGAAAAGAAATGTATTCTCTTTCTTCTTAGTCACTGGGAACTTAATTTGCCTTCTGTTTATAAATTTTACCAAAAGGTCCAATGCACAGGATGAAATCAAATTTGATGCACTATTTAAACAACAAAGGGGTTCAAATAATTAATCTGCCCACCCCCATCCCCATGTTCTTATCTCAAACCTTAACATACAAAAAAAAAATCATGTCACCCAATGAATGTCAGCTTTTTTCCCCTCCTTATTGTTCAGTTCAGTATTAATTCAGTTTGTTCAAGCCAGGGACCTATTGAAAATGTCTGCTAAACTCAGTAGATATTTACTATTAATCTGGTTTGTGTACATTAATGCTGCCCTCTTCTGGAAATTAATTTCAACAGTCAAACTGGCCTAAGAAACAGTTTGATTTTCTGATCAGGACATGTCATTTATCCACCTGAGAAAACGAGGCAGCAAGGAAATAAAAAAAAATTGTGTTTTCATATATAAATGATAAATTATAGGATAGGCTTCTCTTTCATGCTACAGATCTATACCACTTACCTGTCACAGCTCTATCTTAGGGAATCCTGTGATTCCTAGTTCTGTGACGTATTCAGAAATCTCTGCCAGACAGTTCAAGTGTCCCACCAAACTACATCCTCCAGGATGTAGAATGCAGCTATGTGATCTGAAGTTCTATTAAAGTGCTATAATTATTTAGCATGAAAGAGTGCCTGAATTCAAATAATTAAAAGAGGAACAATGCTATTAGGTATAAACTAGAGATGAGTTCAGACTCTACCTCTGCATTTCCATGAAGTGATCTAATTTTCACTTGCCAGAGTAATATACAGATCAGAATATGGTTATCTTTTGGATCACAAAATCTGGGAAATGTTGTGATGCAGTTCTCTGGTCAAATAAATACAAAAATGTGTTTTTTAAGATAAGTTGCAAACAATGCATGCAGCTTTATATTTCAGAATAAAATGTATGCAAAAATGCATATTTTGTAAAAGAAAATTCAAAATTAAGGCAAATTTACATGTGTTTTTTAAAAATTGTGCATTAATGTAGAAAAAGTGTGCAGAACGGACCTATGAATGGATGTATGGGCCACTGACATAGATTCAGAATTGACTCATTGCAAGAAATGAGAATGGTTTTCAGAGATAGAGCAGATGTGAAAGAAGTGCTGAATTTCTTCCTTCTTCCTCATTACTTTCATCTTCAAGCTGTAGAAAAAGAACAGGACTTCCAGGGGAAGCTAAAGGTGGGAAGAGCCCAGCACCTCTTCTCTGGATGAAATCACCTCAGCTGGCCTTCCATTTTAGTTCAGTTCAGCAGTGACTGAATATGAATCTGCTGATGTCAATGTTAATTTGATTCTTGCAGTGGCTCGAGTAGCACAATTACAGAGAGAGTTGCCACCTGAACAGCCACACATAACTTATTATGCTACTACAGCCACAGGCAAAGTGTGTAACAGACAGGATTCGAGAGGGGAAGCTGTAAGAAGCTGTAATGAGGAAAGCTCAGCCATTTATTGTCTCCTATTTCACCAGACTTGCAAGCACAAATCTCATCCACAAGAGAGGTGAGAAAGCTTTCATCAGATATGATGCTACACAGCATTATGTGAGCCCCTGTCAAGAGGCACCATGAAACTGGTCTGATGTTTAGAGCACATGCTAAAATGTGATTGTATTGGAATTTGCATTATAAATAAAACCAAGCCCACTAAGAAACTATATTATAACAAAACACAGCATATACCTACACAGATTTGAGGCTGAGGTGAACAAGAGAAGGGCTGCAGAACATTTTCCTGTTTCTCAGCACCTAGTGGCTGATGGTGCCACAAGTAATGGGAAAAGGGAAAAACACTGACAAGTAGCAGCTGCAGCCATGAGGCTGGAAGTGCAGTAATCATTCACTGCCATCCTATCTTTTTTTCCCCTGGGAGGA